ATGTATTTTTATTCATCCATCCTTTACGTACGTATACATATATATATACATATATATAGAATATTTTTTCTATCATTGAAATGTTATTGAACGCCGCTGTCATCTATTCATTTATTGTTAAACTATAGCCCTTGCATATTAATAATGTCTTCCAAATGCTCTTGATATGTCATTCACTTTATTATTAAATATCCTAAATAATTTTAAATCTATAAGTCAACATTTGCATAGAAAATAATGATATTTCTTGCTGTAACTCAGTAAATCCTTGACGAATTATTGTCATCTTCGAACTCGACTGAGATATTGATGAGATAATGCTGCGTACAAAATTCCATGATAATCGGATTAGTCTTTCAGGAGCTATCGTGTATGCGGCCGGACACACTTACCGATTCTATAGTGTACTCTCTTTTTGAGTATACAAAAGCGAATGATAATAAAATTCTTGTATTTATTTTTCATTGCAATAGATACGAATTTTAATATCATTTATGTTTTGTTTTTTCCCATTAACTAACAGTAAATGTAGAATACATTTAATTACATGAACTCTTGTTCGTGTATAACCCTAGCGATGGCTAAACGTGGATAATGAGAAATCAAATAAAATTCAGTTGGCATATATTTTCTCCGAAAGGTAACGTCTTTCTTTCTTTTATGATAAACATCTTAGATTGAAGTTTGTGTAAAGCAAAAACGATATATGTTAAACATTATTGAATGATTTGAAGACTAATATTAAGTAAAAGCAATCCTGAACACTAGAAATTTCTGCAGATATTTAAATGTATATGTATTTGGATGATAATTCCTAGTTTTGTCCTTTCAATAAGATCGTAATGTTCATTGTCGTAGGCACACTCCATCTCAATTTGTAAAACTTGAATCATTACTTCCAAAGATTATATTTGTCGTTCAATGAGCAATTATTTTTCTCATCTAATCAAAGGATCAATTACATATATAAAAAGATAGATATGGAAACAAAAAACAGCATCACTGATTTAAAAAATAGCAATAAAACTGCACAAATAGAAAATAAAGCAAACGAATGAAAGGCTAGTTTCAATCAAAAGCCGATCAACATAATTAAAATAGAGGGTTTGTGCAAACCATATTGTGTTTCTGAATCGATCAATTAAAATCGACTTTTGTTGATTGAACATCGTCTAATAAAGTTTCGTTGACATCCGAGCTATAAAATAAAATAAAAAATTATTTTTAATAAATCATTTAAAGTATCAGTACTTCGTTGTTCATTTGTCCTTCATAATCAAGTTTTAAACCATACGAAACACAAACTGTTGCACAGGGAGTGAGTAATGGAATTGATACCGCTTTGGTACATCGAAAATCTGTATGACAAATAATATCTGTTCATAGTTAAAAAACCAAAGATTAATTTATTTTATAGATAAATTCGTACGTTAACTGTTGAAGTTCACCTGAAGTAAAACTAATTTCATCATATGGAACTTGATAGAGAGTATTGGTCGTGATGTAGTTTGTATAGCTGCATGAGAATTAAGACATCAAAATCGAATCCATTTGGTGAAACAATATCGGAATCAATAACTCTTCCTAAAATTATCAAAAAATATAAAACATGAATTGACCTTTTTCAGGTTTATTTTGTTGAATACGATTTGTTTGATTTTCTTTATTATCACAAAGGAAACATCGAGTATGGTGACGTGTTTTTCTAACGATAATTAAACACTTTTGAGGTAATTGATTATGATCATACAATTCTAAACAAAATGAAATTTGTATTTAATGTTTAAAATATGAATATTTACCTTTACATGCTCATTGAATAGCTGGCAGTTCATTATCAAGTACTTCTTGAAATTATCCATTATTGACACCAGCTCGACAGAAAACAAGTTTGTTTGACAGATGCAATTTTACACTAAATATAAAAATAATTTGTTTATTTCTCAAATTATCCTTAGAATTATTTCAGCTTCATACTTAATTTATTGGCGCTAAACAATAAGCTAATGTTACTTGACTTTAATTGTTTTTTTCTTAATTTACCAGTAAAACAAATTGATTTGTTCAATATAGGCAAGTTATACCGTTAAATGTGGATAACGATATAATTTCATACGAAGTATCGATGATGAGGAGACTTTAATTCAAGAAAAATAGAAAAAGACGCAGTTGAAAGAAAAATATACAATAATGACTATATTTTGGCGAACTTTATCAACGCCTTTTTAAAGTATTCGATCACGTCCGGTATAGAAAGTAGCAACAAAATAAAGAATGAAAATTGTACGACATTGATCACTGATAAAGTATCCCATATTGTAATTATCGAAGTTTTAAATGCAGACCATAACTCCCCTGACACACCTTGTGTTGTGGATTTGATTTCTTGATACATAGCTTTGCATGCATCGCGCATGTCGGTTGAATACAGTAACCATCCGTACAAACTTAGGCATAATATTAAAGATATTAACACCTGATTTAAATGATCTGTTATTTCTTGTGCAATAAACACTGGATATGTCGTATAAAACTGGAAGCATTGTTGTTTATTTAATGTTATATTGTCGGCAGATCTTTCATAATTTGCTTCACTTGTTATATCGCAATAAATGATTATAAATACATATATTCCAATGCTACTAATTATCAATAACGAGGAGGTTTCCATGCCTAATGAAAAATTTCTTGCTTCTTATGACACTAAAAAATCAAGACACTTCGATAAGACACTTCTAGTGGCTATTTTTCATTTATTTTGCTTGAGCGTCTAAAATCGGTCATCCGTTGACACTAGTCACGTCTAGCTGAGACATGTGATGTGTCTTGTTTTTAGACGTACTATGCGTCTCAGCTAGACGTACCAAGTGTCAACGGATGACCGATTTTAGACGCACAAGCAAAATAAATGGAAACTAGATGTGTTCGAGCACTCTAAAAAATGCCAAGCGTCTTACAAGACGGTTCATGTGTCTAAAGTCTGATTTAGACGCGAAATACGTCTTGTTTTTAGACATGTAGTGACTACAGACAGGAAAGCGTCTTAGGTTCCTCTTTCTCGTAAAACATTGTTATAGCTATTGACCAATAGATCAATTTTTTTACTTTCTTTCGTAGCTATGAGAATTTACTTTCGGATGTGAAACAAAGAGTCTTATTCGATTTCTTGTAAATATTTAGGATTTCACTCTTTCCAGAACTAGTTTTTCCGATGGCTTTTCTGCCGTGAACTACTTCACATTTTAACTCGAATTGAGGATATTCGTGGCTTTGAAGAGATCCGTATCTCTTGATTCGATATCTGAAGTGAAGGGACTTTAAAAATATGCGAACCATTTTACCGAAATTTCTTTTTTATTTATTTCTAATATATTTTCAAGTTTTTTATTTGTTTTCTAGATGATAGAAAAATTATCAAAAATAACTGATTACAGTTATATTTTTATATTGTACATTTAAAAAATACTTAAGACTTTTATTTTTTCGTTTTAGCCCTGTGTTGCATGAGTTTTCCCAGACGATTCAATCAATTTTTGGTTCACTGATTCAAGAATTCATGTTTTTATATGGACATTAGATATTAGAATGAATATTCTCAATGAAATAATTTTTTTATACTCTACTTGAGTTAAAATTATATTTAAAAACTAGAGAAATTATTATAAAATTTTTTATATATATTTTTTGATGTTTAACGAAATTCCTCGAAGGTGATATTCTTGTGGAATAAAATATTATCTTCGAAAATAATTTATTTGAGTAAATCTGATTATTGAGGAATTTCATTAAACATCAAAAGATATATATATATATATAAATATTTTTAAATAATTTCTGTAATTATTAAATATAACTTTACCTGAAGTAAAGTGTAAAAAAATTATTTCATTGAAAATATTTTTTCTAATATCTAATGTTCATATAAAAATATGAATTCTTGAATTAGTGAACCATAGATTGATAGAAGCGTCTAAAAAAGACTGCTGTAAGACGCTTAAATACATTGGTTTAAATACTCCAATCAGGATCGATTAAGACGCTGAAGTGTTCCAAATCGGTTATCCGCGGACACGTAAGTGTCTAATTTAGACCTTAACCAACCAATCAGAAATGGCGCTAAGTGTCTTGTTTAAACGAGCGAATCGTCTTATTTGTACACTTCATGTGTCTTGATTTTTTAGAGTGTATAACTGGAAAAAAAATTAAAGAATATTCATTTTATTTACATTGTATTTGTATGAGCCATAAAATAATTAATCTCATCTGAATAAAATCATCAGATGGTACTGTAAGGATGATTACTATATTTTCATATTTGAATTATAAAATTTATATAAATTTAAAAACAATTTCTATTGGAAAATTTTTAATAATATTTGTTTTGCTACAATCATAATAAAAAAACAAAAACAAAGAACTGTATTCACCTTAATGTTTATTGCTATGAAAACTACCTCAACGAACATAGTCTATGTCGGATATTTTAATTATCTTGTTTATTGTGTTTTTCTTTGGGTATTAAAAATCGATGAAATGTATATTTTCTATGAAAAACGTGACTCATATATTGACAAACTTGATATTAAAAAAAGAAACAAGTATACTATTAAAAATGTAATGTACTTAAATATTATGAATGTTCTTAAAACAGAAAATTCAAATATGCCATCGAAATTCAAATTCTCGGTTCGAATACCGTTTCGCGTAATGAAAATAGGATCATCGGATATAATCTGTAATATAAAAAAATAATATGCCATTAATAACGCATAGAAAACTTTACGAAAAAAAAAATGAATGTCATATAGCCGTTGGTCATTCTGGAAGAGATAAGACATGGGCTCAGGTTTCAATATTTGATTCTTTTTTTTGTTTTTGTTTTTAATTAGTTTATATTGGTACATATAAATAGGTTAAAAGTCGTTTTTCTGGCATACCTCAACAAGCTGTCTCATTATTTATTAACATGCGTGATGCATGTCAAATACGAAGATCTCTTCCAAAAACACCTTGTGGGAAACCGATTATTTCGATAGAATTTTTAACTAGATTACAGGTTGATCTTATTGACATGCGTAGTGTCCAATATAATGGATTTAACTTTATAATGCATGTGAAAGATCATTTTACAAAATTGAGTTGGCTATTTTCATTATCATCAAAAGAAGCACGTCATGTTGCATTTAATTTAAAAAATATATTTTATACATTTGGTCCACCAAAAATATTAAAATCGGATAATGGGAAAGAATTTGTGTAAGAATTACTTCGAAAATATTTCTCAGATAAAGAAAAATAAATTAAAATTAAATTGATGTCTAAAATTTTTGTTGTTTCAACTAAAGTTGTTCATCAAAGAGATATTCTTTTTGAACTACTGCAAATTGTAATCTATAATTGGAAGTAATTATGCGCAAGTAAGATAATGATAGAGTGACGAATAGAATTACGTTGTAGGCAGCTATGTTTATTGCCAGAATTTCAATTCCTTTGAAACAAAATATTTTATGAACCCGAAAATTCAGGCAAATGAAAACTTTGGAAATTCTACATGCTAATTCTATCTATATATTATATTCTTAAAAATCGATGTAGTTTCATTTGTTGACACACATATTTCGACTGATTCGAAATAAAATCTATCGAGTATTTCATATTACAGAGACTTTGTTTTAGCGTTTGTCATACTGTAAGTTATACTGTTTACAGGTCAAGTAAAATGTCATGGAAAATCAACTATAGTCGCTCTCTATGAATTCAAAATGATTAAATCGTAGGATATATTTTCGCTGAAGGCCATTAATAAAAAGTAATTTCAGGTTTGAAACTATCCAACATATGACGCAGTGCATGAAGGAATCTCGAGAAATCCATGCAGCTATCAACAAGATTTCATTGGCCAATTTTACTTTTTTTCTTTCGTGCAAACAGTAACACTGATCCGATCTTCAACTTATATTTTTACTTTTTTTCTTTCGTGCAAACAGTAACACTGATCCGATCTTCAACTTATATTTTTACTTTTTTTCAATGCACAATCACTTTTGGTTGAATCGACAGTGAACAGCTACACAAATAAGAAATGAAAGAACAATACAAATCTTTAATTCTATAATAAACAAAATCGAACACTTTTTCGATCGCTTTATTTTTTGTTTGAAAAATCACGGTGAATTCTGCTTCTTATCCTAAAAGAGTGTACATGTGAAATTAAAGCCTATTTTCAGATTCGCACAAGATTGATGATACAAAGTAGCTGAGAACAACATCGATGATGAAGTGTACTACTTAAATTCTATGAAAATAAATATTGGTAAGAAGTAATGTAACACTGTCATATTTAAATCATATTCTTATTCACACAGATGAGTTCCTGTGTATCGATATCTCCTCGATTCAAGAATGATTGTTGAATCAAGATTATCATCTATCTCTTTTTTTGTTACAATCGAAAGATTTGTTTGAAAACCACATAGCAATGTCAATACTGTTGTAGGCCTTTTCGATAGTATTCAAACTATTCCCTGAGATCGAATTCACTAAAATGCGACTAGTCTCTACAATATAAATTGATCATCTATAGTTATTGATTTTAAATTACATCAAGCGACCAACTTCAGTACAGCGATAGTAAAAAATTGTATTAATGAGAGAAAATCTTTGTTAGATTCACTAATAAGTCGATGATAAATATATATATATATATATATCATTAATGATAGACAAGAAAGACAACTATTTAAACGTCTCGTTTACTTATCCAATGAAATCCAGTCTTATATGAAACTTACTTTTGTAGTAGACAAAGTCTCCTTTTGTACGTTGAGAATCTTTCTCCATGTTTAACGCAAAAAAACAGCTTTCTAACAGCAGAGCGATTGTTTATAGCAAGGATCATTTAATGATAGTAGAATTTGGTTGACTAATCAAAAAATTGGAAAATAATAATGTGAGAAATACTAATAAGAAAAACCGTAAAACTTTAATTAGGCATGATTAGTGAATTTTTTATTCTTGAAAAGAAAACAATCATTCTTTGTTGCTTGCATTCAAATTCATTTATTTTAGATTATTGTGAGATTTCTATAATAAATTATATCGAAATTTTCTTCGTGAACAATTATCATAAGAATAATATGCGCGCTTCGGTTTGGTTCATATGCATTGGTGTGGTGCTTGTAACTTTATTTATATATGCTGAAAAACACCATATCATAGATATCTTCAATAAATCTTTGACTAGTATCGCAATTACAAACGAAACAGTTAATGAAGATATTCAATTCTCTCTGCATTCGATTAAAAACAGCTTCAAACAAAATAATGAACTTAGCATTCATTGGCTTCGAGTTATCAAACACTATATTCGTTTTCCCCTTGATAACGCTTATGGATCTCATCAACTTTTACTACTCGCTGCTAGTGTCTTAACGTCTGATGGAGGGCCAGTTATGGAATTAGGTTGTGGTTATTTTTCTACTATTCTTTTGCACCAAATAGTTGTTGCTGAACAAAAACGCTATCTTCTTTCGACAGATACGGATCGTGAATGGTTATCAAAGTTTGAAGCAAATATGTCTTCGTCTCTCCATGAATTTCGTCACGTTAAAGAGGCATCTGAATGGGATCATATTGGAACTAATCGTCGAAGATGGTCCATAACTCTAGTTGATCATAAGCCAGGTAACAGACGTACTGCTGATCTTATACGTGTAGCAAATATTTCTGATATTGTTATATTGCACGATACAGAAACTCCTGTATATAAATACGAGGCAGGTCTAGCACAATATCCATACCAATATCGATATACCTATTTATCAACCAATACTGATGTGTTGAGTAAATACAATCGTACGCTTCTGTCCAACATACGACGCTTACTAGAACTTACTATCGAAATGAAATTACCAAAAGTTGAACCTGCTTAATTTTTTTTAATGGAATAAAGGGTGTGAACTAGATATAAGACATACGAAGGATATGAACTGCTCAGCATGCAGCATGTACATTCAATTGCTACCTACTCAATCCTCTTGATCTATGTTTTCATGTAAACTGGATGGTTGTGCAAATCAAATTTATTGTTCTTGACTTCAAAAATAGACTGTGAAAATATCAAATATCGTCTTTTAATACGGACCCATGCATTTCTGTGTCAGATCTGCCTATAACACTTCGATATACTGTCTTACTGCTTAATATACACCCAGAGAGCTTTGATAAAGACAAGAACCCCGACCATTGTGTCTTAAAAATAGTTCAATATTGTACTAAGACGGAAAAAACTTAATCGATGAAGTTGATACAACTGCAAGTTTTAAATTGCATTTGAACGACGAAAAGATTTCTAACATCAATACTGAGAAAATAACAAACATCTGGTAACTCTTTGTCAAAGATTTTCATATCGAACTAATTAACCCTTCGTTGACGTTCTCATTTTGGAACTTAGTTACTGTTGTGGGATCCAATTGAACCCACTCCTGCGTTTTCTCCCTGCTAGAGCTACTTAAAAATTCCAGTAAGAATATAATACAATAACAAGAGACTAGAGCTTAGATAAACGAAATGATCCGAAACAACAAATGTTAACGAAGTACTAGATGAAAATCTGTAAAGTGGGTCCACTCGGACCCCACAATATTAACGAAGGGTTAAATGGATTCTTCAATTCTAGATTAAAGTAAAGTTGAAAAACTCGTTTGCATAGTTTCAGATGGCCTATTCTATCACCATCAATTTAAACGCTGCTTTTTTTAATTATTAGTTTCATTTCATTCTCTGTTTTTGATATTTAGTTCAGGAAAAAAAAAACGACCAGACTAGATGTCAAGTTATTTGAAAGAGAAGTTTAATCAAACTATGACTTTATACACGCGAACGGTCTTTTGATGTATGCATGCTTTTTCGCTCGATAGTGGTCGATTTAACTATGAAATGTTGCATGTCACATTACCCCTTTTTTTTATAGATATTACATGTTTTATTCGTGTAGAACTATGCAGATAGGCAGCATTTCAAATGAAAGTATTTTTTATCAGTTTTTGGTGGAAAACGTCGAAATGGAAAATGTCGGCGTTACGGTATCACTATTTTAACTATCAAGATCTTGCCATATTTTCGGTCGACATTTTCTACCAAATCTTCATTATAGATTCAAATCTTTCTCATTTAGCGTATACTATCTCGATTTCGATTCATGAATTATATAGTCTTGAACATTATTCATGTCAAAACTTGAATAGATTTTTCTGTCATATATGATCATGATCATGAACATATCTTTAATAAGACAAAACAGATTTATGTTAATAAGATCATTTGAATATTGAAATGTGATTTTATTATATTTATTGCATGCACAAGTTTTCATATGAATTAGTAAAGAAAATTTTAACCATGGTCTTTTCAAATAGTATTTATGGGGTTCTTTATAAGTAAACATGATTGTTATAATTAAATGTGCTGAAGATTTCACGATGATTATTTCTGCGTTTATTCTTGTAGTATACCGTGAAGCTTTGAAGAGCCACTAAAAACACACTTTAACTAACTTCACTAATGAAAGTCTCAAAGCAACTTTTTTCATAATGTTCAGAATCCTGTGATTATTAGATTGGATGTTTCTAGTGAAACAGGAAACTTTACAGTTAACCTATACGTTGCACGTTAACTATTTCAAACATATCGCTGATGTAGTAGCTGTCTTTCTTATAAACTACCGCATGTTAAAATCTTCTTTCTGTCAACAGATTACAGCTCTACTCATAGTTGAATAACTTTAATGAGATAAGAAAGAACAAATTCCGAAAAAAGTCTGGTCGTCTTCATTTTATCAAATGCTTGCGTAATCACTAGTGACATCTATTTGAGAATTCGTTTCAATGCTCATTTTTAGATAAAATAATAAATAAACATTTCGAAAAACTACTTCAAGATAGAAATTATTATTTCATGAAATTATTATTGTTGTAATTAAAAACTCAAAAGAGGACATCCTGCGGCAATAATGGTTGAAAAAGGGTCAGTTATCTATTTTCCTCAAACAGGTACACATAAGCATGCCGAAAGTTGCGAAAAAAGGCGAAATCTTTTTTCTTCTAAATAAATTGTGTGGCGATTAAGAAGTGCTCTCGCAGAGTAGCGTAGGATTTTTTCTTTTACAAAGAGTTAAACAGAATCAATTCAACATATAAGCATATCTTTTGCATGCACGTGGTATATCTATTTTGAAGTATATTCTTTTATTTGATATCGGTATCTTTTGATATATATTTACAATTCTTCATCACTGTTACATATATATATATATAAATATATAGACTGAGTTGTATTATATAAAAATGAATGTTTTATGTAGATCAGTTGTTCATTTGTTCTTTAACTATTTTGGTTTGCTGTTGTTATCCTTCAGTTTCATATGGCGCAACCGAGTCGAGCTCGCGTTTACGCCGATTGCAATACGCATCGACCACGGTAAAAACAAAACAGACAATTTTTAAGATTTTAAACAAAATCAATTTTAACTATTTAGCGAGTACTACGACTACGAGCTGCATGTTGTCGAGTGGGGGTATGTTCATAGAAAGATAATGAGGAACGAAAAAAAATATTGTTGATATACTTTTTATTTCAGCAATCAAGATGATTATCAGATCGTACGTAAACTTGGCCGTGGAAAATACAGTGAGGTGTTTGAAGGTATCAATGTAACAAATAATGAAAAAGTTGTTATCAAAATTCTCAAAGTAAATAGAAAGAAAGAAAGATTGTCAAGAAGAAAAAAATAACTAACTTTTGTTTGCTTTTTGTAGCCAGTTAAAAAAAAGAAAATCAAACGTGAAATAAAAATTTTAGAAAATTTACGTGGTGGACCAAATGTTATTACATTACTTGATATTGTCAAAGATCCTGTTGTATGTGCTCCTTTTTGCTGTATATTTTCGTTTTAGAAACAAAAAAATGTTTTTTTGTTTCTATACTTTAGTCAAGAACACCTGCGCTTATTTTTGAATATGTGAATAATATTGACTTTAAAGTATGGAAATTGCATACTGAAATTAAAAATCAAGTCTTTGTCTTTTTTATTTTAGCAATTGTATCCTACGCTTTCCGATTATGATATTCGATTCTATATGTATGAATTACTTAAAGTATGTGTTGATTGAATTTTAACGGGTCACTATAATTGTAAAAGATAAATTTTGTTCAATGAAAATTAGCTATATCATGATAAATTATTAACTAGATGCTCTTCTAAATTGAGAAGTGTGTCCTATTCAAAATTTTGAAAGAGAATCTTCTATTAAATTTTCAATTTTTATATTACGTTTGAATACAAAAGTTTATTCGATTTTGCCAGAAAGATCGTTAGTTAAATTCAATAGATTATTGATTCAAGTTTAGCATGCCATAAAAGGTTTCGATTACTTAACCAGACAATAACGCGATGAATCGCTATTGAAATAATCTGAATTCATACGGTAGATTGTATTGAAACTATAGAATATTTGAAAGACTTATTCTTAGTAGGCCTCTCGATCGTTTTTCATTTGAATCAGTATCGGCCACGAGTTTTTTGTTGTTGGAAATAAATTCTGTTTTAAATAAAATGCTTGTGATTTTATATTTTGAAATATGCTTGAAAGTGAATATAATTTATTGAACGAGTTAACGAAGATATATGATTTATTCATTGTGCTTATTGCTTTTTATTTCTAGGGTCTCGATTACTGTCATAGTATGGGCATCATGCATCGTGATGTAAAAGTAAGAAGATTCGTTATAAATTTAACATGTTCTAAGTAAATTATTTTGTTTTAGCCTCACAACGTAATGATTGATCATGAAAATCGAAAAGTAGGAAAAATAAAATTTTGTTTTTTGTTATCATTCATCTATACTAATATAATTTAGTTACGATTAATCGATTGGGGTTTAGCTGAATTTTATCATCCAAATCAAGAATATAATGTTCGAGTAGCATCACGTTATTTCAAAGGACCAGAATTACTTGTTGATTATCAATACTACGATTATTCACTTGATATGTGGAGCTTAGGATGTATGTTGGCTAGTATGATATTTCGTAAAGAGCCTTTTTTCCATGGGCATGATAATTATGACCAAGTTCGTACATTTTTCTTTTCTTGTTATTGTCTATATAAAATAATATGAATTTATTTAAAAAAAAATAGCTCGTTCGAATAGCTAAAGTACTTGGTACTGATGAACTCTACGAATATCTTGAAAAATATCAAATTGAACTCGATCCACGTTTTAATGAAATTCTTGGAAGGTAAATAAAAACAAGCAACATTCTTTAACTTGATTTATTTCGAATTTAATGTTATCACTTTTATAGACATTCACGAAAACGATGGGAGAGATTTGTTCATTCTGAAAATCAACATCTTGTTAGTCAAGAAGCGCTTGATTTCTTAGATAAACTTCTCCGTTATGATCATAATGATCGTTTAACAGCGAAAGAAGCGATGGATCATCCGTATTTCTGTATGATTAAATTTTTTTTTACAAATAATCTGAAAGTTGCCGTTTAATTAAGATCCTATTGTTCGTGATCAAGGTCGTCCAACAATGAATACTACTTCTCAAGCTTTGCTCTCGAATAATGGTATTTAAAACTATGTTTTTTTTTGCAAATGTTAAATTTTGAATTATTTTCAGCTGGTGCCTCTATATCTTCGATTAATTCTTCGTCGCCGCTTAATGTGAACAGTAGCGTGTCGACAAATAATCAGTGAACAAAAAACAAATATCCATCATACTTATGATTTCACACTGCTACAAGATAATTTTCTTTGATTATTGTCTTGCTTGTTCTTGTTCTTCGTCTTCTTTTACTTTGTAGAAGTGTGAATGGTTACAGAGAACTATCAAACATAAATTTATCTATGTAGGTTGATGGACTATGACATTTGCCATATGAAAATAACTTGTTCATCTATATTATATATATATTTTTTTTCAACGATCAATCATATGGATCTACTGTGTTTTTTTTCTTCTTTCTATAGTTTAAATGTTAAAAAAACGCATTTCTTTTCGTTAAATATGCACCAAAAAACCTAACTAAACAAGAAATCTCGTGATTGTCTCAATTCTTTGTAGATTTTATTTGCGAAAATGTCGAACGACGAAGAACAACATGAAACACCACCAGATATTATTAATGAAGATGATAGTAATTCTAAAGATGATGACTCAATGTTTGTATCAGTGATGTTGCCGAATACAGTCGATGTATCATTAAGTGGTGGCGAAGATAATGATGAAAATCCATTTGACGAGCCTACAACAAGAGAAAAAACACCAACTAATACAACAAATACTATCGAATCATCTGTGGATAATGAAAATAAATTGTCTCAACACGATAAAGCAACGCCTCATGTTGATAAAAATGAACCAGATTTATTTGGAGAGGAATTTTCGAATGATAATTCATCGCCATTTGGTGATGCACCTCAAACACCGCCGGTTACTGTACCAAAACAAGAACCAAAGACACCGGTAAAAGAATAAATTTCATATTTTTTCTTCTGCTAACTCATATATAAATTAATTACAGCCAGTAACACCATTGAAACAGGATGTTCCCTTGTTTTCAACTGAGTCAAAAGTATATGCAGCAGAACCTGTACGACCAGTGTCAACATTTGAAAGTCAGACTTCATTATCAAAGCCAGTAACAACGAGTGTTTTTAGTGATTTATTAACAGAAAGTAAACCAGTACAAAAACGTTCGAATGAATATAATATTGCAATCAGTGTGGGCAATCCAACAAAAGTCGGAGAAGTAAAATTAACGTTTACACATTTATTTTCTTCCAATTTTAATCTCGTATTATTTCTGTGTAGGGTATGTCATCATATGTGGTCTATCAAATAAAAACAAAAACAACATTGACAATTTTCAACCAATCAGAATTTTCAGTGAAACGACGTTTTAGTGATTTTCTTGGTTTACATGCTAAACTTGTTCATAAGCATGCGCATGTCGGCGTTTTTCTCCCATCACCTCCAGAAAAAGATACTTTATCAATGGCTAAAGTTAAAGTATCGAAAGAAGAAGTCATACCCATTGATTTTATTGATCGTCGTCGTGCATTGTTAGAACGTTATTTAAATCGTTTAGTACGACATCCTAAATTACTCGAAGATTCTGATGTAAAAGATTTTATTCAATCGGATAAAGAATTACCTAAATCAACAAATACTCAAGCACTAAGTGGTGCCGGTGTTCTACGTGCCTTCAGTACAATATCGAATCAGGTGACAAAAATTACAACAAAAAAAAGTGAACAAGATGAATGGTTTGATGAAAAACATGTTTTTGTTGAAGAATTACACAAACATTTTAAAAATTTATTTAATCAATTAAATTCATTATTTACGCATCGTAAAGAAGCTGTAATAGCATTGAAAACATTTTCAACGACTCTTAATCATCTAGCTACCACTGAAGAACATCCATTATTATCTAGTGCATTGATAGAATTAGCTAATCTTAAAGAAAAATTAGAACAGATTCACAATGATCAAACCATAAAAGAATATTCAATTCTAACTGAATTAATAAAAGAATATATTTCTTTATTAGAAATGGTTCAATTGTCATTTCATGAACGTATTAAAACGCACCAGCAATGGTTAAATGCTGAAGATACATTAAGAAAGAAACGTGAAACAAAAACTAAATTAGAACAATCAGCAAAATCTGCTGATAAATTACCGCAAGCTGAAAAGGAAATACTTGACTGGGAATCTAAAGTTGTTCATTGTAAAGAAGATTTCGAAAATATTTCGACAACAATTCGACAAGAAATGGATGTATTCGAACAAATACGAATGGACGATTTTCAAACCGCATTCGATGATTATTTAAATGATTTATTAGAACAAGAAAATAAAATTTTACAAATTTGGGAAGCTTATTTACCTGAAGCAAATAAAATTAACCTGTGATTTCCGTTTTTTTTTCTCCAAACGATAAAATGTGATTATTTTTATTTTTCCATTGTTTCCTTTTATAGTTTAATCTTTTACGTTAATATTTTTGCGTCATTTCATAGAGCAATATTTTAAGAATGATTACTTCTAATTGATTTTCTTTATAGAAATGAAAACTATTTTTTTTTGATTGATTATATTTTGTATTTTATAAAAAAAAATATATATAAATGATAACTTAATTTGTAGATGAATTCAATTCATTCGTATTATATGAAAGTATGAACAAGCTTTTTGCCTATATAAGGATTTATTTCGAATACAGTTCGTTATGAACTGACTAACGTTTAATTGAAGTAAATTCAAGTCGTATATTTAAATGAAATTCTTCCTGCAAAGAAAAATACAAATATTATTACTTCGGAATTCTATGGATGATGAACATTGTGGTAGTAGATGAATAGTATCAAATATACGGCAATTGTCATGGAAGAAGTTGAACGGCAAACTACTATATGGATATAATATAGACCTAGTTTTGATTGTTTATTCTTAAGCATTATGTAACAGAATACATAGAGTTGATTATTTATGAGAAAACGCCTTGCGTTGTTTTTTCTTTGTAAGAAGATAAAAGATAATTTTTAATATAAAGCATGCAAGAATAAAGGAGTATTTGATGCAAACAAGTACTATTCTTTAGACAATATGAATCAAGTAGTTGAACAGAATCTATCAAATCTAGTTCAACAGTTAACTACATCCGGTTCGAAAACATTGAACGAAGAGAAAATAAAACAACTTAAACAGATTTGCAAGTAAGCTATTGATTTATTTGATTCAATAGATGATCGATATTGTGTATATTGGATGAGAATTTTGACAAGATTTCAAATTTACACACGTTTCGCATTGAGAGAATTGCATTGTTAGAATGTTTTGTACAATTTATATTCTGCGAAAGAGTTTCCGTCGAACCGTCAAGAGACTTTACAATCATTTTATTTCAATTCTGAATGTTAAACATCTGAGTTTATCGTAGAATAAGTTATTTCATTGATAAGTTACTATTAAAAGCAAAACTTCTATCGATCGCATTCAGTTCAATCAAGTATAAACTAAATTTATACAGTTTCATTTTATTATGTGTTACAATTGACTATGTTTTAATAATTTTGTTTTTCTTTGCAGGCAAACTGAAGTCAACATTGAATACTGTTATCGTTTATTGATTGCTCAACTTGATAAATATCATTCTGAAATTCGCTTTTCAACAGTTCAAATAATTGATCAACTTTTTAATCGTTCTCAACATTTTCGCACGCTATTGCTTAATGATTTTAACTGTCTTATTGATAAATGTCTCGGTAATTTCTCAGGAATAAATAAATTCGTCTTGTTTTTCATTAATTAATTATTCAGGATTGACTGTTGACAATCAATTACCTCCACCAAATCAAATAGCAAAACTATTAAAACAATTCACAGCCACATGTATTAAAAAATGGCATGAAAAATTTGGTACAACTTATAAACTACTTGATGTTAGTTATAATTATTTAAAAAATTGTAAATATTTAAATTTTGATAATGTTGACGAGCCAATCGGTATTACTGCGCAATTAGAACGTGAGCGCAATGAAGCTAATCAAATTCGTCTGACACAAAAACTTGAAAATGCCACTCAAGAACTGAATGGTATGTTTTTAATTTAAAATAAAATATGTTGTTGTTGTTGCTGTTTTTCGATGGTATATTATAGAAACGTCGAACGAAATTTCTTCGTGCATAAACCAAACAGAAAATTGTCTTAGTTTACTGGTATCTAGTAATATGAAAACATCGATTTCGACAATACCTACAGAATCAATCGAACAAAGCAATAATAACGATGACGACGACGATGATGATGATGATGATGATAATGACGATGATTTTATAGATGTTCCTCTGGGACCAACAAAGAATAACGATCAAGAACTTCTTCAGCTACTTGGTCTTGGAACTGCGGGAAAATTAAATATTACAATAGATCTCAATGAACGGTCTAGATCGTCTTCTTTAGTTAATGTTGAAATAACAGATGATAATCGTACATTAGTTGAAAATCTTCATGATCTCTATCGACAATTAAATGAGGTTTATTTAAGTAAAATTCAAAACTGGATGAATATTTTTATCAAAGTTCAACAAAATTCCAATGGACAACAAACAGCAATAGCTATGAAACGAGCAATTGATTTAAAAAATTCAATTCAATCTTGTTTGAAAATGGTTGAAAACTATCGCCTAGCACCAAAAAAATCGGTACTTCCAAAAAAAACAGGTTAATTAAAAATCAATAACTGCGTCTATATATCGATATTTGAAATCTTTTAGCTACGAGACTTGATGTTCAACCTGTAACTCAACGCTCGCCTATTGAATCGGTATGCATACTTTCTTTTTTTTTCTCGGCTTGATTCTGCTAACAGTCTTGAACAATTTTTTTTCTGGCGTCAGTTCGTTATAAGAAACAATCTATTTTAAGAGTTTTCAAGTACACTAATCGATAATACTTGTTTATTTAATTACCGAATTAAACTTTTAAAAAAGGCATTGATCTTCAGTGCACTTCAATTTTAAAATCTATGCACATTTTCAACAGCAGCTGACTCATTTTTAAGTTAAAAATATATTGATAATTTATTGCCCTGAAGAACCTTCGATACTATTGATTTACTGAATATTTTTCTAAAACTGAAATCTATTTGATTGTAGAGAACAACACCATTTATCACTGACGATGAAATAAAGTATTTCTTTCATGATGATTCTGAATGTATAAAACGTAGTTTCACACAACCTGATGTTCAAAATGCTTTTGTACGTCCTACAGAACGAGATGATGCGTCTGAAGTAAATATATGATAGAATTTTCGAAAATTTTATCGTTAAATAATTGTTTAATAGAGTTTAAATTATTCTCTACTGATGCATAAACGTACTTTTGTTCATGAATTGCCTCCTATCAAATGGAAATGTCGAGCACCACTAGGCAATAGTAAATTGTGTGAGCGCATGGATCGATATAAATGTCCATTTCATGGTCGTATAATTGCTCGCGACGAACAAGGTCAACCCGTTGACGAAACACTTCGCATTCAAGAACAAGAAAAACTAACAAAAAAACGCACTATTCCTGAATGGCAAGATCCTGAAATGTTAGAAGATATTCGTTTAGCGACTGGCGTTGATTTAAAAATCAACCAAGGAAATAAAACAAAGAAAAAGAAGAAAAATGAATCTGGTTTAACTGAACTTGGCATTGAAGAAAATACGCCACGAAATCGATTAGAAAAAATAATATTCAATCAGTATGAATAATAATTTCATTTGTTTTAATATAAAGTTTTATATTTACATAGATCATCACTTAAGCGTATTGGTGCCGCACTGGATCGTGATGAACGACGTCGAAACGAAGAAAAATTTCATCATCAATTTAATTACTCTTTAAATAATTAAAACATGTACCCTTTTTATTTTTTATTTTTGCTTTGTAACTATTGAAAATTAAAGAGGTCCGAGCGTATAAGTATCATTGTACCATCCATTATCATGCCAACCACCAAAGAGCCACATACGACCATTATACAAAACTGCACTGTGCCCTTCACGTGCTGCTGGAGTATTTGAATCTAATTTGATTTGTTTCCATTGATTTGTTTGAAGATTAAGAACAAATAATTCATTGCTTCGTTGAATACCAACATAACCACCGAACATATAGAGATTTGCACCCGCTAAGATACATGTATGACGGCCACGTTTTGCTGGAATAACACGTGAATCATCGCTATATTTTAATTCTGTCCATTCCGATGTACGAAAATCAAATGAATGACAATCATTGAATTTTCCACAACCTAAACCACACACAAGATATAAACGATCGTTATATATGTGTGCACCACCATATGAACTACGACGTGGTGGTGGATTTCGTTGATTGACAACTGACCATTGGTTGGTTTTAAATGAAAAACGATACATATCGTTAAATTTATTATCACCAATACCGCCAAATAAGTACATAGAATTCTGATAGATAGCAACTGAATGTGCGCTACGTGCACGCGGTGGATTTTCACAGGGAATAACTTCCCATTCATTTCGATCAAATATATATCGATACATATCATTTAATTTACCTGATGAATCCCAGCCACCAAAAATATACATCATATTTTGATGTACACAAGCACTATGTTTACATCGTTTCGATGGAACTTTCGATTCATCCATCGGTTTTATTTCAGTCCAAGTGTGAGATTCAAAATCAAATTTAAATAAATCATTACAACGATATTCACCTAGACCTCCAAATATATACATAGAACCATTATAAATCACAGCACTATGTCCGCTTCGGGCTTGTGGTGGATTATTGTTTACTTCAATTCGAGACCAAACAAGATATTCATTGGCTGCCATAACTTTTTCTTACTAGAAATAATTCTCTTTTTTTACTTCGTTTCGTACTTCTTTTATTCTCGATTCACAATGATTCATATAACCATTCTGAGTGCTTTATTGTGCAAGAATATGAGAAACAACAAAAAAACAACACGTCTTGGTCAGTACGATTATTCATATAAATCTCTTCATTCTTTTATTTATTCATTCGTTAGCAAAAGCAATCGGACGGATGCTGCAATGTAAATCACTGCTTATATATATATTATTTTTTTTTCTGTTACAATAAGGCATTCATCCTAAATAACTATGTTTTTGCGCATTCAAGTCAATAACCGTTTTCATCATCCAATGATTTACTTCGTATGTACGAAAATGAATTATGATTGTCACCCGTAATTAATGACTAAAAAAAAAGAAAGAAAGAAAACAAATGGTTAGAAAAAAATTCCTAGGGAAAATATCTTTACCATATTTTCTTCTCTTGCTGGTGGGTTTCGTAAAAATAACAACAAGGGTGCATAGCATAAACATATAAATGAAATAATATAAAGCATAGCACGAAAACCAAATGCATGTACGATGAATCCACTCAACGCTGGGCCTAGCATATCAATTGAAAATTATAAAAATTTTACTTGTAAAAGCAATTTAATTCTATACCTATTGCATAACCCAGACAGAATGCAACATCGGCAATAGCATACACGCTACCATAAACAGATGAATGACGTATATCCACAAGATAACCCATCGAAGGCATCATTGATGAATCAACCATACCAATAGCAAAGCCTAGGAGACCATTAGGAATAATTAAGCCATAGATGCTTGTAGCCATTGGTACACCAGTTAACGCAATTGAAATAAGAATCAAGCCAATCATACAACATAGCCAACTAAATGTGAAGGTAAATTTTTTGAACAAAATGATTTCTAAAACTTTACCGGCCCATTTTGTGAGCCATTGGTCCGAAGACATTTGTACCGATTAGATACGAAATAGATGCAGGTAAAAATGCTGCCCCTAGGAGTTTATTGCAATAAAGAAGTTTTTCGATTAAATAAACTATCGAACCTTGTTGAAATTCGGTTGCCCTCATTGTTGTCATCATCCATATAGGTAACGATGGCTCCATCATAGCAATACCAATATTACCAAATGAGATTGCACCTAAAATTTTTCAAGCAATAAATTTTAGAAAAATATATCTTTTTTTAAATTTTTTGTATTATGAACCAGCAGCGAGAAGAATATATGGATCTTTGATAAGTGTTTTTAATGAAGCACCTTCAATAGGTACACTAGTTACACCTGGTTTCAAAACCGTTAATTGCAATACTACCGATAGAAAATATAGTATTTAAATAAAGTCATCGGAAAAACATTTATTTTTACATCCATCAAATAAACCTAATGTCGCGAGAACTAAAAATGGTGATGCTTTTCCTACATATTCATACATAAATCCTCCAAATGGTGGTCCAACTATGAAAAAAAATAAAAAGTAATCATGAAATATTTATCATTATAAAGTATTCATAATTTACTTAGCACACCAAGTGCTAATCCACCTAAGGCAGTACCCATTGCTTTGCCACGCTCTTCGTCTTCCGGATATCGATCAGCCAACATACCTAGGCCTATAGAAATCGGCATAAATAATCTACCGATACTTTTGTTTTACCTGATACACTTGAGCAAGATGATCCTATTCCTTGTATAGATCGAGCAATGAATAGAAGAACAAAACTATTACTAAAAGAAAATACTAAAAGAAAAATATTAGCCATTTTTCTCATTATCGAAATCTGTAATAATGCATGTAGATATTGGCACATACTCAGCGTCGATATAAACATAATAGCGAAACCCGAAAACATTGGAATGCTATAACCAACGCTAAAATAAATAAAACGAAATAAATATGCCGTAAAACTATTTTCAGTTTTCTTTTACCGATTTGTTAATGGACCTACAAATGGATTTGTTAATAATTGAACAAAAGCTTTTGATGCAAACATGATACCAACCCATTGATTTTCCTAAAAAAATACCCAGATCTTCTATATATATATATATATGTATTCCTATTATTTCTGGTTAGTTTTACTTTTTCTAAAATTGTTCTTCGCTCTTGACTTTCAATATCAGTTCTATTTATTGCCCAATCTAACGTCCAATTGCAATGTGTTCGAAGTAGAAGACGAAATTTAGTAGGATTTCGAACGAAATAATTTCTTCGTTCTATTATTTCACTGTTTGAACAATTTTTTGCTAACAAGCTATACGTATCATTGCTCGATATTTTTGGCTGTTGAAGACGATAAAGATAATCAGGAACAATCGGAACTTTAATTTTGAAGAAAGACAAGCAATAGAAATAACATTTCAATAAAAAAGTGGTTTTAACTTACCGACGGTCGTTAAAAGCATATTATCAAGAAATAAAGCGACAAACACAATGAATAAAATAAGTACACGTGATGATCGCCATTTTTGCCAGAAGTCTTTCATCGATTGAAGATTGAGATGGTTCATTTTTGTTTTAATTTTAAGTAAAGAAAAAAAATCATCATAATGAACCATGAGTCCGATTGATGACGCCTCGGTTGCTTTTTCTTTTTTTAATATACTATAATACTTGATCATGAAAGTAGAAACAAAAGCTTTTAGAATAACAGAAAATATTTTCAAGTACATTTTTTTAGATAGATCAAGAGTGGGAATGGAAAAAGAAACGGAAAATAGAAAATCCCTATTGATGAGTGTTTTGTTAGAAGCTTCGCCTTTTTTTTCTTGCCATTGGTAGGTGGACATTGAGTATAACTATAAATCTCTTCCAAGTTATAGTCGATAAGCAGTAGTGCTCTTTCTTCTTTTCATTTCCCTGCCCAAAATGTCATTTAGTGTGTTTATCGATATAATCGCTTGTCTTTGTTCTTTTAGATATTCATGAGCCACAATGATTATACATTACATTCAATCATTCTTTTGTTTCTGTCTCTGATTATGAATTTATGAACTCTCATTACAAAACAAAAAATATATATCAAATACCAACCTTCCAATAACACCAGTCAAAGGAAATCTAAACGAGTTCACTGGGAAAGTTCCAAATAAATTAAATTTTGTTCGCTATGATATGCAGTATTAGTAGACAAAGACGTTAATGAACGTCATTGCTTTTTGATAATAGAAAATAGGCAAAGAGAAGCGAAGAAAGAAAAAAAGTAGCCAGTAAATTTTTTCTTTTCTTTTTCCCTAAGATTAAACGGAGACCATGAATACACACACACACACACACACACACACACATAAAAGGCAATCGTTACAAAAGCATATGCTCAACATCCTTCTCTGAAGAAGAGAGAAACAAGTGATTGATAGTTTTTGTTCATACTAAAAATCTGTTTTCTAATCACGATGTTCGTCAGAAGAAAATAAATGATTTAAATTAACAAATCGCAGAATGTCTTTCTTCTCTTTTTTTCCTCTTGAAATCCGGTCACTAATATGTGTATCGAATCACTGATACATCAAGCAAATAATCATGAGAACTCCCATGAGAACTTTCTTTAATTAGCATATGATCAAAAATCAGTTGCTTTCAAAATGACATTGATGATACATAATGACATGCAAGAAAAGCAAGATTAATAAATAAAATCGAATTTTTTTTCATTAACTACAATCGAAAAGAACGATACATCATTATGTACAACATAGAGAAGAACTAATTATTATTGTCAGGAAATGAACAAGAATACTTGTACCACCACAAATAAATGTGATAATAAGCAATGGCATTAAAATCGTAGCATTTGCTTTTGATAATAAATCATATTCATATTTAGACTATTGAAAGAAAATAAAGTTTTAAAAATAATTTTATGAGATCAGATAACTTACCCAATATGTTACATATGCTATATGAGCGATTTGCACTATTGTTAATATATAGAACGTAGTCCATACTATTCCATTACGAGATTTATTCTTACTCTAAATAATAATAATTTTATTATTTTCAAAAAAAAACCAAAAAACGAGTAAAAATCATTTCGTCACCATAAGTTTTCCCATTAAAAACCATAGAAAAATAAGCGGAATTCCAATGAATAGTACAAGTAATTGGTTTCGATCGAAATCTGCTTGACTACGAATGTTTAGCGTCAAGAGAGAGATCTACAAAGTAAAACAATACAGGTAATTTTTATCTTGCTATGCTTTCAAATATCAACATACAATTAACATTGCATCGAAGTTTAGAAACCAAGAAAATATTGCTGCTCGAGAGCAAATAGTTTCCTTTTTAGTGTTCATTCTATATGAATAAGTTATAATACCCGTCCACGGTACTAACATAATGAACATAATCAATGCAAAACCTAATCGAAGCTAGGAAGTAAAAGGAAAAAAACTGATCTAATCAACCACAGTAATTATTTTCTTACAGTAACCACAGTAAAATCATTTTTAGGATAGGAATTATGATGATCAAACAAAAATCGAATATAAAAGTGTATACCAGTGTATGCCAATAGAAGAATAATAGTCAAAGTTGTTAAAAGTCCATCGGATATACCTGAAGGAAGAAATTCAATTTTTCCTTCTTTTTACATATGCGCTTCATAGAACGTACGACAAAATAAAGCTGTTGCAATCATAGTAACAATGATACATCCTAAGAAAATACTTGCAGAAAAACATTTTATTTAACATTGAGCAAACCTGAATGAACAAGAAATAAAAGATATATAGCGAATTCATTATTGTCTCGTTCCATATTTCGAATTTGTTCAAGTGTAAGTAGAATAATTGGAATCATTGTTAAAATTCCTACTAAAGCGTAAAACCATCTTTGTAAAATAAATTTTTTATTCTTAAGTTTTTGTTGTTGCTCTACGGGAACTTTATAACTCATATTAATTATTATTGTTGTTGAAATCAAAATACAATAACAATACACAACTTCCTTTTGATTTAATGATAGCGAGTTCGTGTACAAATTTATCCTTTCGCTTTATCTTTATTCATACGAGGTACGTGTCATTCAATATAGGATCTATATAACGACGTGTTTAATGGATGAAACAAAAATATTTCTTTCAATGACAAATGTTTACTAAACCGCACAACTTTCTTTCGATAATATGAAAAATATAATCGCGTAGTTTTACTAGATACGCACCTTGTAAATGACAAAACATACGTCGCGTACATCAATGAAAGCAGGTTAAATGTCATTGTACTATTTTACTTTACTTTTAAAGCTTTGCTCTTGTTGTAGACATTTGTTCTATGAGAAAAAACTATTAGAATAATTATCTAACCAAAATAAAATCTCCTCTTTACAGGGACGGCACGAACGGGGAGGGGGTTCCTCCCCCCAACTTTGGAAATTTTTGTTTCAATTTTACTCCGATTTGAAGAAAATAGAAGAGATTTTTATTGATTTACTCCGATTTTTGAAAAAAAACCTCCCGTTTTCAAGTAACCCCCCTATATTTTTGTTGCTTCGCGCCGTCCCTGCCTCTTTATAGTTTATCATGACGTGTATTTCATATAATTTCAACAGTGACAGGTAACATATTTTTGCAGTCGATCGTACCGCTAGTATGAATCTTTTTCAAGGTAGCGTTTGAAAAACAGAATTTTCTCATGTACTCGTCATATTAGATCTTACTAAAAATATCTATTTTTATTTTCTAAAAACGCTTACAATTTCTGTTTCAAGTCAAATCAAAGAGAGAAGTAATTTTGATGAAATCAAAGCATTCTAAATTCAATGCCTATTCCATTTAAAATAAGACCATTTCCAGTAGGCTTATTTTATTTGTCTTCTTCAAGCCAACAAAATACCAAAATGTATTGTTCTAACTACTAATAATAACTTGTATTTAAGTACATCAAGTGCTTGTACTCCATGGAAGTTTCAATTTAGAGCAGATTTGCATTTGTTTTTCTGATGATTCATAAGCTATTTCGAATAGCAATCAGGTTCTCGTACAACGCTTACGAGTACTATTAACAATAGAAAATAAGTACACCGTCAAATTAGAAATATAATTGGTATTCAGAAAGTTTTTTTCTTTCGATAAAATCTGTTCATATATCATTTACGTAGGTAGTGATTCATCGGAAACATTTTACAGGCCTATATTTTGAAGGAAGAGAAGACTATTGAATCATAATAGTAATGAATGAAATAGATCATTTATTTTGAAAATAAAACAAACTCGTAAGCATAAAATACCAAGGCGAAAAAATTTAAAAACTATTGTAAATCTACATGAAAATGTTAATATTTCTCTCGAACTACTGCATCATTATTTGTTGATGCTTCTTGAGACATATGAGGAGTTTCAATATCATCATCATCGTCATCGTCATCGTCTATGAATTTTAAATTTTTATGTAAGTTTTCATTTACCTCTGAAATATCTGATAATTTAAAATGTACTGCACTCAAGTGTTTAACCAAATCTATTGGATTGATATCTGATTGTTGTTGATTATTGAATGTAACATTTGGTGCTGTTTTCGAATCTGTCATTGATGTTGATGTATGAGCTGATTGCGTTAAAGTTTGCCTTGATTCTTGACTAAAAGCCGATGCATTGGATTCGAGTCCACTGTCGGTTCTTGAATAAAAGCTTTTTTTAAATGCATGAAAACCGACTGTATATGATGGATTTGTATCATTCATTGATGTCGATAGAAGATCTCCAACAACAACTACACCTTCATTTAATAAAACGCTACATTTACTTAGATCATCACGAGTTTTATCCAAACTATGTAACATTTCAATACGTAACATTTGAATATCTTGTTTAAGTTCTTCGAAATCACCTTCACGAATTTCTTCTTGTTCTTCGCGTTGCTTATTTAAAAGAAAACGTTTTATAACACGATTCATTACTTGACGATAGGTTAACGCTTGATTTATATCAAAAGATCCTTGACGGACCCGATAATTATTATTACCGACTAAATTTATATTTGAAATTTGCCTATTAGATACTGTAGGTATTCCATTACCATTAGAATTTGGCGTTCGAAGACCTGGTCCTGGTGGATACGACATTGACGGTGCACGATTATTTATTTCCATTGAATTTGATCTGTCTTCTGAAGGCCTTTTTAATTTTTTTACACATGACAATATACGACGAAATAAATAATAGAAACTTTTCGGTGTTGGAACGATATTGAATGGCACTGGCAATGTTCCACCTAGGGTTTAATTAAAGAAAAAAGAAGTAGAGATTACCACATTAATATAGTGATGCGTTGTATTGCTAAAAGAAAAATTATTTTCCTTTGAAGTAATAAAATATTATTCTAGTATATTCATTTTTTTTTGTTATTTAAGACGATGACTACAAGAAGAAGAGTTTACTAGTTTGTTTTTGTCTACATTAGAAAGGTCAATTTTTATAGGAATCTACAATAGCCTATTGTTAAAAGTCTGTCTTTAAGGATTGACGATAGTTCACATTAAAACTAATCTGACATAGATAATATAAGATATCATATTACAATATATGTGCCCATCGAAAATAGTAGTTGTTTTCTTCATTCACTGATATCTAGTGAAGTCATTTTCGATTATTGTGTATTATACATAGAACATTACTTAAAATCCTAGAATGGGCACGAAAGAAAAATATGTAGAATAGTATTCGTCATATAGAACTTTTGTTTATAACATTTGAACGCATATCTCTTTGTACACGCTCGTTAGAACACCTTTTTCTTTGGCAAGATGCGGACCGAAAGCAAACGAAACCGAGTGGTAACTTTGTAGCCGTTCGTCATATCTCTGCTCTGAAAATCTATACTGAAAAGAAATAAATGTGGAAACTTCGGATTTCATCCGAAAGTTATGTGTACTGCAAAAAGTGCATGGGATGTATGAGTCATTCTAGAATGTCTGAACACCAAAATTATCATGAGAAACTAGGCAATTTGATTTCTGGATGCAGTTTTTGTGCATTTTGAGACGTTTTTCAGGCGATGTTTCATCAGAAAGCNAACTAGGCAATTTGATTTCTGGATGCAGTTTTTGTGCATTTTGAGACGTTTTTCAGGCGATGTTTCGTTAGAAAGCTACGATTTAGTTCAAAACTAATATCAGATTCGGAATCAGCGTTAAAAACTGAGTCGATTTATATAGGTTGTGAATAATTCTGAGAAAAATTCGTTGATGGTCCGGTCAAAAATGACAATTTTTTCGATAACTCAACCATTTCTTGAGGGATTCTTTTCATCTTCGAACTCGACCGAGATATTCATGAGATTGAACTGTATGGAAAATTGCATCACGATCTGACTCTCCTTTCGAAAGTTATCGTGCCTACGGTCGGCCGGACACACTGACCGATTCTAGAGTGTACTCCCTTTTTGAGTACACAAAAAGAAACTCAATGGATACGACTAGCCGATTGAGAATAGTAGTAGCGCTATAATTTTTCTTTGCATCTCTGCATCAATCGAACTTTTACCTTCTTTAATATATTCCATATATAGTTTACTCCGTGCAAATTTCCATTCGACATCAGCATGTTCTTCAATTGTTTCATAAGATTTTGACATCATAGCAATAAGCATATTAAGTAAAACAATCACATTTGCAATACTAAATGCACCATAGATTAAATATCCAACCGTTTCTGTAAAATGTTTATTAAACCCTTTTAATTCTACACCTTCTTTTTCTGCTAAACCAAATAATGACCAGAATACTGTTTTAAACGTTGTAGCCATTCTAGTTCAAGCAGAAACAAGGAAAATGATTGTTCAGATAAAAGCAACTTTAAATTTTAACTTACGTTCCAAATGATTCTTCTGCTGAGAGTTCATCACCTGGATTATGTGGTTCTACTTCAACACTCTCTCGTACTGTTAATTTATAATACCAAAATAGATTATTTAAACCAAACATAAACCCACAAAAAATGATTAAGAAAATAATAATAAATTTTCCAATATCCTAAAAGTAAAGAGAGACAAAAGCTTGACAAATACAGTTTTCTTTTCGAGGTCATACTAACAGACATCATTCGACCCAATGAAATTTGTAATGGTCCTAAATGTTGAAATGCCGGTAGCAAAAAACAAATGCGTGAAAAACTAAATATATTTGCAATGGCAAAAAGTCCTTCAGCAACATTAATGGGATCAAATGAAACCCAATAGAATCGATCTAAGATGAAAATGTATCTATTGATTAGTAATCAATAAAAGTTAAACTAGTTCAATTACCAGCATTTAACCAATAGAATGTGTAATAGATATTCAGTTGTTCCGCTTTGGGTAGTCCACAAATATCTTCAAGTTTCTTTTGGAAGTTAGGCTCTCCCAATCTACGAGCAGAATGTATGACCTATAAGGATAAATCGAGAACATCAATGAAGGCTGGCTTCCTAGAATAGTATCTCATCCGACTAATCAATAGTATTGAAATTGAAATCAGTTTGCTGAGCAAAATATTTATATAACGGTTGGAATGATCTCCGAAATGAAATAATTACATTTATGGATTAGGAACTCGTCCAATAAAAATACAGATTCTTTAGAGATAAACGTTCTGAAAGGTATGAATAATGATGTTTTCATCAACTCTAATTTAAAGAATCTTTAACAAAAAAAATTACTTTTCAAGATTGAACTAATTAGATTTCTTGGATATATATATATATATATATATAAGAGAGAGGGAGGGAGAGAGAATTATTGAACGTGTTACCAAGAAAGAGTGAAAAACGGATAATTTTCCATGTTCATAAGCCAATGAAACAATGTCGAGTGCAAAATCTAAGAATCAAAAGACTTTGATCTTAAATATCAGCATATCTTTTTAACATAAATTATTCTTAGCTATGCAAGAGTTCAATAGAAAAGGTACGGAATAGCTGTATCGATTGAAAAAAAAATAATCCGATTGTCACTTTAGAAACTAAAAGTATCTTCAATCTTTTTCTTACTTGATAAATCACATAGTATTTCAATGCGAATGACGATAAATATAATATATTCATACATGAATCAACAATGTTATTCCACGAAAGAAAATAATCTTGAAGACCATCATTATATGCCTGTTTTATTTCATGCCAAAGAAATCCTAAAACAAATTTTTTTTTCTTTATTTTGTTGCTTGTATTACTATTTACCAATAACAAAAACTGAAATCGTTATGTCAATCCATGTTGGTCTATTGGCTCGAAAATAAAGATCATCGTCTGGATATATGTCACAATCTAAGCCATCCGATGAATTGTTTGCGTTTGTTAGTGACCGATTCAATGCTAGCGATAAATCAGGATAGCGAACACTTAATTTTGTTAATGGCTTTTTCAATTCGCCAGCAAATAAAAGACTTGAAACAATAATTAAAACAATAAATATGGCATACGATATAATATGGCCGATAAATTTTATGCATGGTTGTCGAAGAAATCGTTGAATCTATAAATAAAAAAACAAGCAGAAAAAAGGATATGTTACATGAAACAAAAGTTATTTTCTGACTTTATTCGTGTAGTTTGGCCATGAAGTTAATATGTATAATAGACAAGCAAAGGGCGAAACAAAAATATATAGAATAATTAATAATAGAATCAGTAATGGATTTAACTTGAATAAATTACGTATTTGACTATGCCAGATTTCGACTAGTTTTTGTTGGCAATTTGAATGTGCAACAAACTAAAAGAAAATAAATACATTCTATAATTTAGTCAGAAAGCTTTTATTTTTTTTTATTTAAATAAAAACAAGATTCGAACAATGCGCCATTAGATTATTAATCGATCTTTATAGATGATTGCATTATAAGAAACTTTTGTATTTTCATAGGTTCTCAAATGATAGAAATGTATAGCTACTAAATATGATTTTAATATCGCTCAGACGATATATCTAAAAACGATCGGATAGCAAGATGTTCTAGCGTAAGTGATTCTATTATAAATAATTTCTAATGTAACTGAAGCGTTTTAAAACATGCTGACAAAGATTTCAAAAACTAGTTCATTTAACAAATTAGTATAAGACATTGAATTCAGTTGATTAACTATTTTGCTAATAATTTAATGTATAGAATTATTTTCCAGTTAAATTATACTTACAGGTTTTTCTGCATATTTAATCGCCAAATAGAGTCTTGCTAAAAGTAAATATTTTTCTTCTGACTCTTTTCCTGTTTTTCCCAAAACACAATCAAGTTCTCTATGGCCACGAACTTTATCGAGTAGTTTCACCGCATATGCACTTAATTGATCAGCTAAATTCATATATTCATTCTAAATAAAAATAATATTCACTGAACATACTGAGAAAAACAAACATTGTATTCGTTGTTTTTACTTTGAAGTATTTTTCTTTTGCAGATAAATCTCTTAATTCTCGGCCAAGTTCAAATGCCGTCAAAATAGGATCAACCGATACCAAACTAATATAACTTTCACTTGCTAAACCACGATATGCATTGAGACGAGATTGTGCATGACGTAACGAATCAAATTTAAATTTATGATGACACTGTAAACATTTGCAATGATAATCATGTGGTTTTGTTATGCGATCACCGCTCATTAATAGTATTTGAACTAAGAAAAGTAAATTATTAATAATAATATTAAAATCCGAACTTTTCTTTTTACCTATTTCAGTGCGATTGTATTGTGCTGCTAGTATTAATGGAGTTATATCTGGCGAGAATTGTCCATCATCCGATGATGGCGTATGCCAAAATGATTCTTCGTCAGCTGTAATAGCTCTTCGTTCAAATAGTATTTTAAATTTTGGATGACGTAAACATGTTTCAGCTATTTGTACATGGCCAAGATAGATAGCTAATAGAATTGCTTCACGCATTTTCTGTCCATCGCATTGAGACAATAAATGTGTAACAACCTATAAAAAGAAGAACGTTTTTTTTTCTGTATAACTATAAACGAATAAAAAAATCATAATCCTACTTCAAGATGTTCATTTTCAATAGCTAGTTGCATTGCAGTCCGACCTAATTGATTAGTAACATCAATACTAAATTTTGGATTTTCAAGAAGAATTTGATGAACGGTACTATAATCTCCATTTTCACATGCGCGAACAAATTTCTCATCGACGTTCATTTCCTAATGTAAAAATACGTTGATGAAAAGAGTTTATAGATTCCATTTTACTTACCGTATTTCTCATATGGTTATAGGCTTGCTTATATAAACTATTTCGAGCGCCAATTAATTCCGCACGTCCACGCATATTTACTTTTGTTAGGTCACTAAAGCGTTTTTCATACATACTACTTGGAGTATTGCTGCCAGTCGAAGCCATTTTAATCTATTTACTTCGTTCACACTACGTAGAAATCTAGAATGGATATGTATCTAGAAGTTAGAAGAGAAAATGTGAAATTTGAACGTTCCATTAATACTATACGTTTGTTCGGTTCAGACAAAAGAAAACGTTTTATTTAGTCATTAATATGATTTTTCTTCATAAAAATATAATATAGAAATTATGAATTCTGTTAGAACTATTGCATTTACTGTAGAGAGAAAGAAAAAGAAGTGGAGAAGGAGAAAATAGTGATGTTCAATCTACCTGAGACAATAAACAGATGTTTATCGGGGTTAGCATACATACATATGAATTTACTATTATCGTATAAAAACTAATAAGAACAGGAAAAATATACAGAGATTTTATAAACATTTAAGAAATCAGAACGTATTTCAACCGTTTGACTACGTTTTCGTGACGATGATGTTATTGTTTGCGCCTCTCGACCAACGAATACGAGCTATCTCTAACTTTTTGAAAACAACCAAGAGAAATAAAGTCTTGCCGTTTTCTTTGTATGACGGAGGAAAAAGAACAATAAATGGCATGATCATTCATTTTTGAATAGTATTGATGAAGTACAAGTGACATGAGTCAAAACTCGTGACTCAAGAGTTTATTGAGGAATAATTTTTGTGGTTCAGGATGAAAACAACAACGAGCTTTTGCAAAATTTAAACCTAAAAGACTAATTATAGTACCCCTTTCTATCTATATCTACGTATTCATTTTTTCTCGGCAATGAAATAGACTGTGTTCTATTTTGTCACTCTGTCAAATTTGACAAATAAAATAGATCAATATGCATTTTGCTAATATAAATCTAATACGTCCGGCGCTAAACTAGATAACTTAATGTCATGAAGAACGTGTGTTGCAAAGGAAAAACTTCGTGTCAATATTATTTATTGCGTTTTCTCTTGTTCCTCATGAAAAAAAAATAAGAACTTGTTTAGTTTTTATTAAAAGAGTCAAACAAAATATATAATGAACATATTTTTTGCTTATCTAATACGTAAACTATTTACAAATTTTTATCGAAGGCATATGCTAAATTTTAAATGATTTTCTGCAATAAACAGATACGTAGTTTTACTAAATTTATCAAAAAATGAATAAATATTTTCTTCTCAACCTAATTGAATACCATTGAGTAGTGACCAACTAAACAAACGCTTGCTCAACTTCTCTGCTAATGTAGAAATTAGATTTAGTATATTAAAAGTAAATAACATGTCTTCTAAATTCCATGATGTCAAGTACATCTCCAAATTGAATAAATTCTGCATGAGGTTATAATACTAAAAGTAATTGACCGGCCAAATTTCGTAAAATTGCTTGTTGTTCAATTGTACAAAATAGAAAGATGAGTTTAATGCGAATTTTCAAGATTCGTAATAGTCAAGAAACATTGTAAAAATGTCGACACAATTTATAACACTTGGTTACATGCAAAACTTTTAATAATTTTTCATAGAGTTTTTCGTATTCTGAATTGATTTGGATTTTTAAGTATTCAAAGACATGAAATGGACGTGTCAAGACAGCGTTTGATAGGACACGTATTTATAATTGTGACAACATCATCTGTCTAGTGAACGATGGTGGTTGCCATGGAAACTCAGTTTTCAATATAGTGTAGTTGCTAGTCACTCAAACAAAATTTTCATTCTCACGTAGCCATTTTTAGAAGTAACTTGACAATAGTAAAGGTTCGTAGAAAGTATTCGGCGTAGAAAACTACGTAATAAAATTTTATTTTAGCAGTCATCAATAAATGATGTTTATCTACAGTGCTGCATGATTGAGTTTCAATAATAAAAGATTCAATTGTTCTTGGTCTGATGCACTCCCTTAACTTGTTTATGCTATAGGCTAGGTTTCGTTTTATTTTTCTTACTAGAGACAACGATATATTTTTCGAAACCATAAATTTTGAAGAAACGACGAATTCAAAGTGACGAGATTGGAACATTTCTTGACTTCATAAGTCGCTATCTGCTTTATCACTATCGTTCTTTATTTTTTTTTGGCTCTTCATCGTGCCCTCAAGATACATTTGACACGATTTCCAGCAACAAGTATTATTTTATAAGAAAATTGAACAATATCTAAAATACGAAAATCTGTATGCCTTGATTCAATTATCGTGAATTGTTTCCTGAAGGACCAAATAGTAATAATATCCAATTATTACTAAGACTATCTAATTAGTTTTTGCATAATTTTCTTTTAAGAACGAGTTAAATGATTGTTCATATCGCAATGCAAAATTTAATAAAAAAAATCGTACGGTTCTCTGACTTGTCGATCATTGCAATAGCAAAAACTAGTGACTTCCATTAGAAAAAATAAATAAAATCATTACTATACATTATCGCACAATGCGATAGTTCATTGAGTTTTATTTTTTTGCATATTGTGTACGAGTCAGTCAACCTATGAATTTAAAAAGATGATCCATTCTTTTAGCTGAGCAAAATAACAGAACGTTTTTTTAATGAATACAATCCATAAAACAATAACATTTATTTGTTAAATAAACAAACTGTACATGCTTTTCAGTGCCATCTAAATGTTTATCATTTTCTCGCGATAATGGACACTAGAATTTTTTAAGTACGCCTTTATTTCCATGTCTCCTATCAATTTCTGTGAGTTCTTCATCGTCATCATCGTCTGTTTCTTCTTCGGAAGATAAGGAAATATGACATTTAACGTCGTATGGATTTAATTGCTGTCTTTCATCAGAGAGAATACTTAATTCAATATTTTCACCAGCAGTTTTCTTTTTCGCAACAGCAGTACTTATTGTGTCTATTAAATCACGGGATTTGTCATGTTGTTCACTATCAACATAGTCAATAATAAAATGAACCGCACTATTGCGTCGACTCATTGAATTTTCATTGATATCTTCGGTATCCAGCGTTTCTGAAATGTCCGTTGTGAGTCTTCTATTCATTGCATCTTTATTCAAAGGTAAATTAAATTTATTCTTTTTATCACGATCTTCAATCTCTTTTGCGTGACTATGCCGATGGAATAGCATTGAACCGCGTCCAGATTCTGTTTCGTTGTTTTCATCGTCAGAATAGTCGTAAAAATCAATGGCTTCATCATTTTTGTATAATTTTCGAGCAAAAACACGTTGATACCGATCGACAAGAATTGATACAAGCATACCGATTGTTGTAGCACCACATAAACTACATAAACATGCTATGATTCGACCAGCTGGTGTAACAGGTACTATATCACCGTATCTAAAAAGAACTTAGTTTTCTCGTTAAGAATTTATAAAGTCTTTTATTTTTACCCCACACTTGCAATTGTAATTATACCCCAGTAAGTTGCTTTGAGTATAGAATCAAATGCTGAAGAATTTGCACTACTTTCAGCAAAATAAGCAGCGGCACCAAAAATAAAACTTAATAATGTTAAAATATTAATCATAATAAAAAAGTCCGGTAATGTTTCGCGAATTGTTGATCCAAGAGCACGCAATGATTTAACACGTTTAAATATACGATAAAATTTAAGAACACGTGCAAACCGAAGAATACGTAGAAGGCGGAGGCCGAGATATGTTGTTGTGTCGATTTGACTTTGTAAATCAGTTAAATAAATGCCAAGTGTAATATAATATGGTATGACAGCCGCAATATCAATCCAATTCATTATATTTTTAACAAAAATAGCAAATGATAGTGCGCTGACTATGCGAAGAATAAGTTCTAATGTAAAAAATCCAACGCATATCGTTTGAATAATAAAAAATGGTGTCGCAAAATAATTAGAGCACAGGTATTTATAATCATTTGCAAGTGTTTCATTGCTATTATTTGAATGGCCCATTGTAATATTGTCACATGTGATTGTGTCTAAATCTGCGTATTGTGGTAATGATTCAACAGCAAGAGTAATAGTTGATATCAAAATCATAAGTAAAGATAGACCACTGACAATTTCAGCCATAATTGAATAATCAGGATATTCCATGGTTGCCCATAAATGTGTTCGGCAATTATTTTTGGGTAGACGCACTTTTTTCACCTCTTTTATGTTTTCAGCTTTTCGTATTTGATTCAGAGCTTCTTCCCCTAATTGAAAAAAGGTAACTTCTTCAAGAAAAACATCAATCGGAACATAAGTCGGCCGTCTTAGTCGACCATGCGATTGGTAGTAGTAAAGTATGGCTTCAAAACAAGAACGATTACGATCAAAAAAATACTCTTTACGCGTTTTATCATAATAATGTTTGCATCGTTTTCGATTTCCAAGTAAACTATCAGGATAAAGCTCAAGCGTTTCACGATGAGTTTCATAACGGTCACCACACACATTTATTATGATACGCTCTTCAAATGATGGTGTATTGTGAAGTTTGCGTTGTCGAGATTGCGTTGCTCGAATATTGAGTAAACTTTGAACATTGATAAGATCACTAGTTTAAATGAGAACAGAAAATAAATAAAGAAAAAAGTCTTAAGTTAACTATGAATAGTTGTTAATAGTAGCTATCACATGTACTTATATATTAATATAGATGCTGCTTGATGCGTACTAATTTCGATATTGAAAATGTGAATCCACAAGCTAGAAAGCCCAAGCACATACTTACGAAATATAAGCATAACTTTTATTTGAATTTACATCGACCTGCTTCACTGCGAACGGTTTTCTTCTAATATGTATTAAATATTAAGAAACAACAAACTATAATCTATATATTCATACTTAGCAAACCGTTCTTGTTGTCCTCGTTGATTTTGTGATGATTGCTCAATAACATCACGAGATTGATCAATTGGATGAATCGGCTTTGTTATTCGAGTCCTCTGCATGGTCACTATCTACGCGTATATTTACATCTATTGATGCGAGGCATATTTAATCGAGCGTATAAAAGGAAAGAAAACGTAGTCCTCATAATATCGACTACTAGCGAATTGCTTGTTGTCATCCATCACTGAGTTGCAACGAATGAAGGATATAGAACAAAATTTTATCGTAGCTTTTAATCATAAACAAGCAGACAAATTTGATGACTTTCGATGCTGACAAATTATAACATGATTAGATAAAAATTTTAAAAAAACCTACATTTCTTTTGAATGCATCAGCAGCAATCAGCTGTAGACATGTTCTAAAGATTTTTAAATATTAATCGGCATGTATAATATAACAGGCTACTTAAGACAATGATATACGATATCAATATCAGGTTTCTTTTTTTCCAGTCTATTAATTATTTTGCTTTGTTGCTTTATACAGACTTCCCATCGATTTGATATCGATATTGTGTAAATGCAAATTTATTTTTAACATTGATCTACGTAGATACTTATGACGATTTTAGTTTTTTTGTTAATTTTCAAATCGAAGAATCTTTATTGTTCTCCGAAAAGTGCGCTAACAGAAGGAAAATAACAAGAGAACAACGATAATATTTTCATATAGCATACTTAATTAAATTTTTCTTGAGAAATCTAATCGTACTATTTAAACATTATGAATTTTTAAAAAATTAAAAATAAGAATGGTTAATACATTCAAGAATCTATCTTAGACTTTTAAATGCTATCCATGTTACTGTAAAATAGTGCCATGAGAATAAAAAATATTAACCTATCTTTTAGTACTAAGATCGTATGTCTACGCAGTAATTTGCGTTTTAGTTCTACATATTTTTCAGCATGAAGCATACTCTCTATGATAAGTTCATATTCATAATCTAACATTTGAATATATCCTACTGACTCATTTGCATAAAAATCTCAATAATCATATGTAGTTCATCTCCTGTTCACTCATTGGGCGATCAATTGTTACTGAGAATCGCCAGCAATCAACAACAATCATGGTTAGGGGTGGACCATTTTTTTTAACGGAACTGAATTAATGACATTAATTAATGACTTCCATTAAGCATTAATATTAATGGTTAATGAGAAACATTAACATTAATATAAAATTAATGTTAATGGCCCACCCCTAATCATGGTATTAAATGTAAATCGTTATAAAAACATCGCTTTTCTTTGTTAATTTTAGCGCACTTCTTTTTACTTCTATTAGTATCACCATCGATTTAACTGCTAAGTATTCAACCGTCTGATATTCAAATTATCTCGCAGTATGAATTATTTCACAGTTGAAACATTTTCAAAAAGAAAAGCATCTACTTCATTCCTTTTTTTTTCTAGCATAAAAATATCGATAAAAAAAAGTGCGCAATCATTAATATCACATTTATCACTTATGTTGTTTTTCATACTCGATTATAATATCAATAATAGATAACAATTTTGACATACGTATATTCATCGATATTGATTCAAACTTAATGTGATGAGTACACAATAATTTAAATATAGATCGACTGTTTATGACAGTTTCTTCAGAGCCAATCAAACTGTCAGAATGTTAGTTTTTTTCCAAAATAAATTATCTAACTGACGATAAGATCAATTCAATTAGTGAAAGTTTACAAGTATTTCACGATGAAACAAGTTCCAAAACAAAATACCATTGAGTTACATATTTACTGTAGCATAGAAAATTGATAAATGCATATTATCAGTATAAACGATAATACCTTGCAATGGATTACTGCTAGCTTCTTTAATTGTAGCTCTTGCCTACTCCCGAACAGTAATAGATCAACAGTTGAGACAATAGTTTTGGAAACTAGATAAGCTCATACCATTTAATTTTTCACTCAAATCAGGAATTATTTGTCCGCCCTAATTACACATCAACGCAAATAAATTTTTTTATCCTTTTCTTTTTATGGGAAGAAATACGGAAAAGAGGAGAATATATTAAAATCTTCTGAGGACATAAGGGGGATGGAGTTCAAAACGTTACTATCAAGCCACCTAAGACTTTCCTCGATACTCGGAACGAATGCTATTAGTCGTTTTGGCAGGTACACATATTTTATTACAATTTCGTTGTTCAAACATTGGTTTCTAAACGAATTCAATTTTAAGTAATATCGATCTATCTATTGAATTATTCAAGTGAACCTTATATTTCCTCCAGTATTTTATGTACAGGTTCTCAAGCGATTTTTCGTTGAAGAACGATGAGAAAAGAAAATCGTTCAAAAACAAAAAACCTAAAGTTTGCTTCAAACAGATATAATAGAAATGTTCGAGATCGTTCTTTTGACAACAAGTAACCAGTAGAAAAATACAGAATAACCAATTAGATAGGGGAAGAATATATGCGTCGAAAAGATTCCGGTGAAATTGGTGTGCCGAAGTACCACAGGATTTCACAATGGTTTCTCTTGCCGTAATCTTACTCTTGAACCTCGTAATCATTTTACTCCAGCCTAATTTGCACGATATATGACAACCTAGATACTTGAAGCTGTTCACTTATGGTGGTTTGTGATCTTCCATTGAGAGAGAAAAAATTAGGATTACCGATCGCACGCGCTATCAAAAATGGTTCTGCTTTTTCGTAGTTAATTGGTTGTACGGATAATATGGCGCAGTATTCTAGACATTCAAATCACTTTTAAGTTTAACTTCTATATCCAGACATTGCTGGACACAACTCAGCTTTCATCATTCCTCCAATTATGCATGCCAAATCGTCCTAAAAAAATTAATAATGACACGATTTATTAGCTATTGATGCGAATAAATTCTTGAACTGCTGTTCATTCATTTAATTTCTAGGCGAACCATTCTGACCACCGGAAACTGCATCTTATTCCGTCCAAAATAGTCGCAAAGTTTCACATGTCATTTAGTATATGCATGCACAAGGATTTACTGCACCTACACAGTTGATTCATCAACATCAAAAGAATAATGATCAATATAATAGTTGGGCACTTCGTCACAAATGAAATCTCACAAGAACCACATGTAAGGATCGAATCCGTGCGAATAAATCACTGCGGTGCTGTTGCCAGCTTTCCACGTCTCTACTTTAATCACCATCTCCGAATGCTTATTTATATTAGACATAAATATCAGTTGAAAAACATCCAAGACTTGTCAATCAAAATATTCATCTGTTGAGAATATACCAAGACGAATTAAATCGATATTGACTAACTGTTCTTGAATAAGCACTACACCTTGGTCGATCATTTCGGCCATGCGAGGAAGAATCTTGTACTCCCTGACTAGGCTATAAAATTATGTAATAATGTATTTATTTTCACCGAATATCATCGTATTCCGCCAGCTTGTCGTGCGAGCAGCTTTTTTACTAGAAAACAATCATCGTTTACAGGCCGTTTAAGACTGTTCACTCACCGTTTTCTGAGACGTGGATAAAAGAAAATAAATCAAAGCAGCTAAATTGATAAACACTGTATCTATTATTGAATATATCTAGTTGAGAATAAATGTGAGCATAATAAACGATCACAATAGGTAGAATCTGTAAGTGAAATGATAGAAGTAAAAAATAAATAAATAAACACATAGGGCTGATCATGATCTAAACATTGCGATGTCGAATAAGGTATACAAGTCATGAACAACAATAAAGTTTCCAGGCTATCGTTGACGAAAGAACGAATTATTTTACAATGCATGAATGCTTTGAACTTTTTCTTTGTTATATACAAAGAAAAGTAAAAACAAGTGAGAAAGCTCATTATTTGGAATTTTTTTTGCTTCTACTTTAAACTTACGGACGTGCCTTTTTGGTGCCCCCCCCCCCTCAGAAAATCTAACTTTGTAACAGAAGCTCAACATTTAGTGTTAGCATCGAATGATGCAGCGAAATTTCACTTTCCCACATGTATGTGCATATATGGCCTATAGGCTTTCCGCAAAGTAGTCGAATGCCAACAAACTTTCGAGTCAACGTTGCGTCGTCTACTATCGGGATAGATTAACTCTTGTGTTTAAATGTTCAGCGAGAGCAACTTTACCTGTTCCCTTTCTGATGATATTATAAGTTCGTCTTCAAATCGGTTCATTGTAAGATATCAGCTTTTATATACGACATAGTTTACGGAAGATGAGTTGTTATTGTTTTAGTTAAAAATGAAACCATCGGTAAAGGTTTATGGCAACAAGATGAAACAAGTATTATTCGCGTGTCAAAATTCATCAAAGTTAAATAATGAGAATTGATTTTCTCGTATGTTGCAAAGTGGAAAATTGGAAAAATTTGTACTAGATATACAGCATTAACGAAAACGCAAAAGAATGCAATTAAAGAAAAACATTATTACAGCACTATGTTAGGATCAGAATAATAAATTCTTTTTGAGGTGAGAAACCAAAATAAAATAATGATTGTAATAGTAACGGAATAAAAAGAATTTCATAAAAGGCGAACGAAATTCTCTAACTTTATGTTAATATGCAATTTTTAATATTAATATTAATTTTAATGATTAATCAATGCAAAATCTTTCGAATACTAGTGCAATCTGTTTCTCGGCAGCATACTATTTGAATGACAGGAACACTCTAATGTCGATAAGAAAACTTAGAAAAATTGTATAAAGCAAAATAATTGATCTCGAGGAACGGACCATTTCAATATCGATTGCCGTTCTCACTTTGCACGAGAGCGGAAGACAAAAAAAAGAAAAAAAAGCTTTCCCTTGGAACACTACTATGCTCTATATACAAAAAAAAGCGGAAACATCGGATTTGCATCCGCTTGTTATGTGTACAGCAAAAATTGAGTAGATTTATATATCTTGAGAATAAATCTGAGAAAAAGTACACTCAAGAGAAAAGCACTGTACCCCCCCACCCCACTCGCACCTCAGGGGATGGTCTGGTCAATAATGACAATTTTTTTGATAACTCAGCCATTTCTTGACTTCAAAAGTTATCGTGTTAACGGCCGG